TTGATGACTACAATAAAAAAAATTGGTAGGTGGGAGTACGTAATTTTTTTTTTTTAATCACTACTTTAACCAAAAGCATTGTTAATGACAAATTCTAGATGTTAAATAATATATTCTAGGTGCAGGGTCAACGAAGTAGTTGGCCAGAATTGATACAGTTGAAATCTTCAACTTTTCATCAGTGGGTAAAGGTGTAAATAAAGATTTTAATTTTGTACTTTTTTTTATTTAAAAATGTTAATTTTGTTAGTTTCTAAATAAGGATATCAACTTTCAATTTTTTTTAAAAATAAAGATGTTAACTTTCAATTTTTTTCTAAATAAAGATGTTAACTTTATCGGTTTTTAAATAAGGATATCAACTTTCAATATTTTCTATTTAAGGATGTCAACTTTTAACTTTCAACTTTTTCTATTTAAGGATTGATTGAATAGTGATGCTGACATGGCTAACATATTTTTTTAGGTTAAATATTTGAATTGGTCCCTCGACTTTTATTTTTGAATCAATTCATCCTTAAACTTCAGAAAGTACCAAAAACATCCTTCAACTTCAATTTTCAATTTCATCTTTCCGCCAATTAAATGTTGATGTATCTAATTTTTTTACAAAGTGATTGACTATTTTACATTTTCAATATTAGGTGGAAAATCCATTATATAAAAGATGATTATGTGGATTTTTTAAATTTTAAATAATTTACAAACTACTTTAATTCTTAATTTTACTTTATTTATATTTAAAAATTAAAACAATTAATATATTTTTCCATTTAATTAGTCCCACCTACCATTTAATAAAATTAAATAAAATTTAATTAATTCTTCCATGAATTAGGTATTTAACTTAAAAAATATGTTAGCCACGTCAACATCATTATTCAATTAATCTTTAAATAGAAAAAGTTGAAAGTTGACACCCTTAAATAGAAAAAGTTGAAAGTTGACATTCTTATTTAGAAATTGACAAAGTTAACATCCTTATTTAGAAAAAAATTGAAAGTTAACATCTTTATTTAGAAACTGATAAAGTTAACATCTTTAAATAAAAAAAAGTGTAAAGTTGGAATCCTTATTTGTACCTTTACTTTTTCATGAGTGGTGCCATAACTCATGGGATTGTGCTAGAGACGTGACTGATTACAGGGAAGCTGTGAAGAAAGCAGAAGAAGTACACAGGATCGAGTAACATGATTTAGCTTGGATTTATGTTAATTATTTTACCTGTTGAGAAAATTTTGGGTCATATTGATAATGAGATAAAGTATCCCTTTGTATTCCTATTTTTTAATATAAATTTCTTTTTTTTTTTGATAAAAAAATTATATTTACAAAGGCTTAATATCATTGATATTAAAAATCCCTGAACTTTATTATAAAAGTCATTGTCATCCCTCTACAGAAAAAAATTCATAATAATCCCTCAACTTTTGCGAAGAGGCCACCGTGGTCCCTCTCTTAACATCCGTTAATGAAAGTGCTGCCATGGCACGAACGGTGTTAAGAAAGTGCTAAAATGGCATTAACACCTTATAAAAGAAAAAAAGAAATATGATTTAAAGATAACCTTTTTATATTATTTTTTTGCATAATATTACATATTATTTAAATAATTGATTTTTTTTTTTTTTCATTTGGAATCCATGATATTGAATATATTCATTTAGGTTTAAAGCCAATTATCGTCCCTCTACTAAGGACATATTCGTTGTCGTCCTCTACTCTACCAAAGAGCCAAAATGTCGTCCCTCCCCTAACATCGTTCATGTTGTCATCATTGCTGATCGTTAAGTCCTAAACGGTCAGCAGTTGAACCCATTTGTTTTTTTTTTTTTTTTTTTTCCACATGTGCTGCCATGTGCAAGAATGGTACCACTTTGCCCACTTTGCCTCCCTGCTTACTCAGACCCCATACTTTCATTTTTTTTTTTTTTACAGAGATGCCATACTTTCATTTTTTTTTTTTGTTGCCAAGATGCCAACAAAAACA